GAAGATGAATGTTTACAACCCATTCAAAATTATTTTTCTTATAATAATAGAATTAATACGATAGTCAAATGTTCTAAAGAAGAAAAACAAAATTTGTAACGAACATATACGATACATACGATAACAAATAGGAGTAAAGAAAAATCTACATTTAAATTTTATGTATCTATATAAACATAAACCCTAGAATTAAACGTGAATCATATCAAATGACCTCGATAGTACCCGAATCATAATATGAACTATAGTATGTCAAAATATACGAATGATATTCATGTAATGTCTATTCTAATTTTTACATAGACATGCATCAAATCCAAACTGTTTGGGAGATTGGACCAGATGTTGACATTAGGCCTAGGCGGTTTATGTTTAATGCATGTCTTAAGATATTCTAATCTTTTGTCAAATTGATTGCAGTTTACAATGACTAATCGTGTAAGATCGAACTAATAGCGTATGATGAAATAGTTGAGTGAATTATTGAATCTGAGAAAATGACTACAAATTTTTCATTTGTGACTTCAAAATTTATTACAATCTAACATTGAAAAACAAATTTTTTTGTTCCACAAAAAAACAACAACAACAATACATTTAACAGAATTTAGATTCAATGTTCTATAATTGAATATCAATAGTTTACATATATTTTTCCAATGAAAAAAAAAAGACTAAAATTAATATAAGAAGAAAAAAAAACAAAAACCTAAATATGCGATACATGAAATTCATTATAAACTACAATGATACAAATAAATTCTAAATAATCTTTCATTAATTTATCTGTTTCTTTCTATCAACATTTTTAAGTGCTTGTTCTTTAAGTTCAAGTTCTTCAAAATCAGATTTTAACCAATCAAGCATATCCGAAAAAATGACAACACCATTTGATGATGGATCTGATACAGATGGTAATGGTCGTTGACTACTAAGTGCATCATCTTCTCCATCACGTTCATTACCCATTCCAGTTTCATCTGGATACATTTCATCATCATAATCAAGACAATTCGATGCATATTGTTGTTGATGAATTTTATAATGATTTTTCATTCGATAAGCTGATGGAATATATTGTTTACAAATTGAACAAACACGTCGTTTTAATTCTTTTCGTACACTTGCACAACAATAATCAAATGGTATTATATCATTTTGTGTATTTTGCATAACAACACCATGAAATTGTATACGTTGAATTAATGAACCATAAAAAACACCTTTTTGATAATCACGTTCAGCCATGGCAATACCACGTGGTGTACGTTCAAATGCAACTGGTGCTGGAAGAAAACGATGTGGAAATACTTGAATATAATTTGAACGCCATGGACCACAACATGATATTGAATTACAACGAATTATTTGAATTGTATATTGTGTTTGAAGAACATGTGTTGCACACCAATATTCATCAATATCATATTTGGGTGTATCGCGTAATAAATCTCCTTCGGATGTAATACGTGGAGGACGAACTCTTTCTTGATAATATTCATCACGTTGTCGAATTCGACGTTCAACTGGTTCTTCACATTCTTCATCATAACAAACACTAAAAAATAAGAATTATGGTCAAAACAAAAATAATAATAGAAACTATTTTTACCGATCTAAAACATAATTCATAATAATATTAACATCAATGACACGTAATTCATCTTGAGAAGATGCAGGTGGATCAATATATTCAGCTACAACAGGATATTCATCAATAATTGATCCACACCAAACTTCAGCTAAAACTTCTCCAGCTTTTTTAAAATTTGTTCGTTCTAAATCAGGATTTACGGTTACACCTGAATCATTTAAATGTGTACCAAAATGATCATGTGGTAAGATGAGACCAGCTAAATCATGAGAAAGTGGTGCCATACGTCGTTCAACAACATTATAAGCTGATTGACCTGGTGCATGTGTAAGAACAAATAGAGCATCCATATTATATTTACGAAATTTTCTTATTGCAGCAACAAGTGTTTTTGGAAAACGTGGATTTTCATCTGGACCACCATCAACTGTTATAATAACAATTGGTTTAACTTGACCTGTATAATCACGTGCTGATTTTTCAAATTCTTTAAGTCCAACAAGAGTATCAAAATCACATGCATGACTATTGGCATCACTACGATCATGTTTAGCTGAACGAATAGCAATATAAGTTGGACCGGAATAACCCACATCATTATTCTCAGTCATCATACAAGCAGCATAAACACTATTAAAATAATATTGAATTTAATTTCTTTTTTATATAAACTATTTACCTAGGTGTCAATTGATGACGTGGTGCAACAGTCCAGTCGTGATCCGGTAAACGAACACGATAATCCAAATGCATAAGCATTGGTGCTTGTATTTTAGCAGCGGGTAAGCCAATTGGTACTTTACATTTATCATCTTGTGATAAGAAAAATACAACATCATTACCAAATATACCAGCTAAATCTTTTATATAGCGAATTGTTGCTGTTGCAAAATGTCCATCTAATGAAAAGAAAGATAAACATATTTATTTATTTTGATAAAATAAAGTCAAATACCTTCATGTTTGCTATGTTCATCATTTTGAGCTTTACGAAGACGTACAGGAACTGTTCGAACATGTTTTTTACCATCAATTGAATTCGAACGATGTGGTAATAATCTATAATAAAGTGTTGATCGTTTAATATCATAACCACGTTCTTTAATTTTTTCTCGTAAATCATCTAATGTTAAACATGGTCGAATTGTTGCAGAACGTCGATTATCATCAGCAGCACCACCAACTTTAGCAATTTCTTCAATAATTTGTAATAAATCTGGACATTCTTCTTCAATGGGTGGTCGACCAATAACTGGCCGATAGATTTTATTTAATTCAGCTGCAAGTTCAGGATTTTTTTCACATAAAGCTTCAATTTTACGCTAAAAATAATATAAATATGATTTAATCTTAAATTAATATTATTTCTCTATTTTACTTTTTTTATTTCACGAGCACGTTTTTTAGCTGATTGTTCAGCTTTAAGTCTTTTTAAATCATTTGATTTTTTCTTTTGTTCAACTAAAAGTTTTTTCAATTGTTTTTCTTGTTCAGCAGTTGCCATACCCATATTTTTAACTTGAACTAATTGTATAATACGTTCATTGATTTCATAAATTTCTTTTGATACTTTTTCTTGTGCTGGTGCTCGAGTCTTTTTAGCAAGAATTTCAGCAGCTGTACGAATTTTTCCTGGTTTCTTTTTTGCTGCTACTGGTTCTTCTTCAGCTACTGTTTTTTCACCTTCGTCTTCATCTTCTTCTTCTTCTTCGGATTGTTGTTGCTGTTGTTTTTCATTTTCATTAATTATTTCATTTTCAATCTCTGATGAAGGTGCACGTTTTTTACGACGTTTAGCCACGCGACCAAGACTTTCTCGTTCAACATTTGGTTCCGCTTTTTTCTTTCGTCCTCGTGTCTTTTTTGGTTGTTCGATTTCAACACGATCTAAACCACAGGCACTACTTGAATTGAATTTTGCAAGATATTCGTCAATTTTTTCTTTTACAGTAACTTCATTAGTTTTTATGTCATTCCATTCAGCTTGAGCAGCTGTATGAGATAGCTAAAGATAAGAATAATCGATCATTAAAATAGAAAAATCAGAATTTGAACCTACACATCGAGTCATATCTGGATGTCCTTTCATATAAGCATCAACAAATTGACGGTATAAGCAGTAGCGTGGAGTCTTGTGCGATGGCATTTTGAAATGTAGTTACTAGTTGATTTTATTATGGTTTATTATGTATATGTATGTATGTACGTCTGAACTTACTAGAAGAGAGAATGAAAGAGAAAATAGGATTGTTCAGTGAAGAAAAGGCGAAAAGGACGTCGTGCACCACTCGTGACCGCTCAATGACCTCCTCCCCTCGTGATTTTATGCACGTCCTATTGTCGACCGTTATTTTCAACCAACCAGATATTAACGTAGACAGTACACATGATATGTTCTTTCTATTTTTCTATGTACGAGGGCAAGAAAAAAGAAGCAATTATTAATTGACCGACGTCCAGGGCAACGATATATAAATCCATATGTTTTACTTGCAACCAATCGTCCTTTATGAATGAATTGATTGAATGAAAATAGATTTTAAATTTCTGTTTATTTTCTTTTTTAAAGAGAACAATTTCAAACACAAATAAGTGAATTAAAAAAGATAAGAAAAATTTTTCTATGTTGCTTGCGCTTTATAATCAAATTTCGATTCCAATTTCTTGCTTTCAGCAACTTTGCGTACTGCTTTTGAAAAATCATCTTCTTGAACATAGTCTCGTTCAGCACGTATTGCAAACATTCCAGCTTCAGTACATACATTTCGCATATCAGCACCATTAAAGCCATCACTCAATTTCACAATAGCTTCATAATCTAAACAAAAAACCGTAATCTATATACGTATATACTTGATTAAATGAATCTCTTACCAATATCTCCTCGTTTAGCAATTGGTGCTGCGTGAATTTTAATAATATCAAGACGAGCCTGTTCATTTGGTAATGGAATTTCTATATAAATAAAAATATTGTAAGAATAAAATTAATTTCGCTTTTTTTTTAATTTATACCAATTTTTCTATCAAGTCGACCAGGTCGCATAAGTGCTGGATCAAGTGTATCAGGACGATTTGTTGCCATAATTATTTTTACTTTACCTAATGTATCAAATCCATCCATTTGATTAAGAAGCTAAAGAATGAAATATTTTTTGTTCAATTCTTTGTAAAATTAAATAAAACAAACTAACTTCCATCAATGTACGTTGAATTTCTCGATCAGCTGATGTACCTTCTGAAAATCGACGTCCACCAATAGCATCAATTTCATCCATAAATATAATACATGGTTGATGATCTTTAGCATAAGCGAACATTTCTCGAATCATACGAGCACTTTCTCCAATATATTTATCAACAATTGCACTAGATACAACTTTTAAAAAATTACAATCAAGTTGACTTGCAACTGCACGAGCTAATAATGTTTTGCCTGTTCCTAAAATTATATATACATATTGATTAATAAACGAAAATTAATCAAACATATAATTTACCTGGTGGTCCAAAAAGAAGACAACCTTTTGGTGGTGTAATACCAACACGTTGAAACAATTCGGGATTTGTTAAAGGTAATTCTACAACCTATAACATATGTTAATTGTTTTTTTGAATATAAATAGAATATTTGTACCTCTCTTAATTCACGAATTTGTTCACTTAAACCACCAACTTCACCAAATGAAACATTTCCTGGATCTTCATGTGACATATTATAAACCAATGGATCAACTTCTCGTGGTAAATAACTAAATAAATATATATATATTGATAAATTTGATAATACAATTCTTATTTACCGCATAACAGTTAATGTTGTCATATCAAGAGCAACACGTGTACCAGGACGTAATTTTGCTTTATTTAATTGTCGACGACAACCAACAACATATCGTGGACCGTTAGTTGCTTTGACAATAACTATAAAAATTAAATAAATTATTTTAAATCTTATTTAAAAACAAAATTACATTTATCTTCTGTTAATTGTTTCAAAACTTCTCCAACAATCTAAATTTAAATAGATGAAAAAAGATTCTGCATAAAATATTATATTAATTTACTTGTCCAACACTTTGTAATGCTTTCAAATCATTTTCACTTTTGTCATAATCTTTTGTTAATGCACGTAAATCTTCACGCACTATAATGAGAAAGTTCTTTTTTATTCCTTAATATTAGAATTTAGACAAGTAACAAACTTTGTTTAAGACGAGCCTCAATTTCTTTGTGTTCCATAATTTTTTTACGAAAATCTTCTAATGCTTTTTCTCGAGGATTTATTGCTGATGTAGCTGGCATTGCTGCTATTGTAGCCATGTTTACAATTAAATTGATTCTAATATAGATAAATGAGAAATAAAATAAAATACTAGCAAAGTCAACTTGAGCAATAAACAATCGAATGATTCATCATGATTGGAAAATGAATACATTCGCCATCTTCAGGAGATATAGAGGTCGTAAGATTTCAATACATATGAAATAAAACAACTAATATTAACGGTTTTTATGAGAAACTTATGCCGCAACAATTTATTTTCTAATCGATATATTAAAGAACTTAAAAAAGATAACATCATTTTTCATTCGTTTTATTTAAATCAAATTAAAGTTTTATTTGATTTTATACATGATTTTTCACATTGCTCTAATCGATTAAATCGGTTTGTTGTTCCACCACAACCTGTATATGTAAATGGAACACATTTACGTTGTTGCGAATCATAAGTAAAACGTTTGATTGATTTTTTACATGTACCTGTGACACCCATTGATGTATCACATCGAAAAACATCTACAAAAATAAAAATTAATTAAACTAAAATTTTGGTTTTTTAAATATTCTCATACAAGATCTTGGTGGAATTGGTAAGAAACATGTAGCATTTGTTGCACATTGAGGAAATAAACGAAGTGTTATATTTTTTGTACGACAAATACGTGTAAAATTACTACTCATATGTATTTTCGGTTTACATTGTTCAAGTGAAAATGTTTTTTTAAGATGTTCAGGTACACAAACATGCCATGTAGCAGCAACACCATCAATAGTTTCATAAAAAATACAATGACCACCGATTAAAGGACAACATCCACATGGTCCAACAACAGGTAAATTAGCTTTACATTGAGTACTATGAATAAGTTTTATTGAAAGAATAATACACAATAGAAAAAGTATCGTACGCATCATGATTGAAAAAGTGCACATTTGTTTCTATTTTTGATTGTTTAGCCTTTTGATTTGATAAGATAAAAATAGTTTGATTTCATTTTCTCTTATTCTCAAATATCAAATCGAATGAAATATTAGTCATGAATACATACAAAATGTTGATTTAATTAATCGAACATCTTTCCTGTTTGAATTCAATATTTGTTCTGTATATATAAATATTTTCGATATTCCTCTGTTTGAATGATTTCTGTTGATTTTGATCAATCTAGACTTTAATCTCGATTCTAAACAATATTTATTTTAATAATTTATGATGAACTCTATAAGGGAATCTTTCAATTGAATCATTCCATGGGAAATCACCTAAAAGAAGTATATATATTCATAATACCTTGAGAAATTTTGATTTAGTCTTGAAATGTGTTTTTCCTAATAAAAGTTCGATTTCAAAATACATCATATTTTTCTTTTTGTTTTTCATCAACATAGAAACAAAAAGTGAAAAATAAAATAAAACACTCACGCATAAACGTATACAAGCAAAAGGAAAAAAGAGAGAGAGAGAGAGAGAGAGAGAGAGAGAGAAAAAAAAGCACATTGACATCATCAGTTTGAAATAGAAACAGATAGTGAAACAAAAGAGAAGAAGAAAAAGAGAAACTTTTTATAAACTAATACTAAACTTCTTAGTAGTATAATTACAAATACTCTCACTGTTATTATTTTTTTATATCTTATAGGACAGTTTTGACTAGTTCGTTAATTAAAAAAACAAACAAACATATCACAGTTGAAAAAAACACATACACACAGAGATAGAAAAGATCTTATTTTTTTTTATGCGACTAGAATCTCTTGCATAGAATGATTAAAACAAAATGAGACGTTTTCTTTTTTTATAGGAATAGATGATAAATTTCCTGAGGAGATATTTTTTTTTTGAAAATTAGGTGAGAGATAATAATTGAACTAGTTTTTCTATTACACAAATATCCCACCATCAGTATCTTGTGCTCGTTTAAATGCATCCCATAATGCAACCATAATTTCTCCCATAACAACATCATTTGTATTCATTGCAACGAGACGTAAAACAAGTACACCATCATGTCTTAAATATTTGTTTGAAAATGTAATAAATAGTTTTCTATCAAATGTTTCACGTGTTATACGATTCATTATTTTAAGATATTTTTTAAGAAAATGTTCACGATTAAATGGTAAGATTTGTTGCCATATACACATTAAAAAACCATATGAAGATAAGATAGAAACAAGGACAAGCCAAAACCATATGAATATAAAGATTTTTTCATTAAATAAATTCACGGGAAGCACGCACTGCAAAAAAAAAAGAAAAGAACATACTTTTTTTTTTGAAAATAATAAAAGGATATTTTACTTGTATCGTATGTTTATGTATATGATCAGCCATCGTACGAATTTCGAAGTCACACATTGTTACTCGAGGAAATCGTGCTGAACGACAACATTCACGACCTGATAACAAATTTCGTAAAACTTCAATACCATATCCATGATAATTTGAACCCATAAAGATCTATAGAAAGATAAAACAATTCATTTTATATTATCAAGTAAAAATTAATTTACATTCAGTAAAAATAACTGTCCAATAACATTTGTAATATACAATAATTTGACAAATAAATAGACAAAAGTTAGATAATTTCCTTGAGCACGACCAATAATAAAAACTGGACAATGACGACGTATTATGCGTTTAAATTGGGAAAAAAATCCTGTGCCCATTTCACGTTGAATTTCAAGAGCACGATCAATATGTTTAGCTATATATCTGAGTGTACGATCTCGTATATCGGGATTTAATTGTTCCATATTATGTAATGTTTTAACAAGATTCGCTATATCAAAACCTGTTTTTGTGGCAAGCGCATGCCATAGAACGGAAGGAATGTAGAAGAGCACTGACATAAGAAGTAAAATAAATGGGATCCATTGATAATAAGCTAAAATACAAAAAAAAAAAAGAATTAGTTATGATTAGAAAATAACTTGAAATGTATACAAACCAATGTGTTTTGGACGTTCATCATGTCTGGCAGGTAGTGAGCTCTCGAAGGGAACATAGTAAGTATTGGATATCCAGCAGATATAATTGGCATATTCAACATGAGAACCTTGAAATAAATATAATTTTTTATTCTATAAATCATGATCATCTAATTTCGATATACATAATAATAAGAGATTTAATTCAAAAGAATTTTATTTATTTCTAATATTATAAGAACTATTAAATCAAAGATAATTACATAGTCCTTCAGTTTTTTTTCCTATAAGAAACTTTAACTTCCTACAATTTAAACAAATTCCCTCATGCATTGTTCACATAAGACTCGTAGACTGATGAAAAAACCTAGTATTCTTTATGAATAAATTATGATTTTACAATCAAATTACATCTAAGATTTACTTCAATCAAAATAATTTTTCTCTCCTTATTACAATCTATTTTGCTCTTTCGAACGACTAAGTTTCCTGTCTTTATTTTTTATGTACTAACCTTTGCATTATTCTACAAAATGCCTTGAATACATGATCAAACTCAATATTATTACATAAGATACAAATGTCATCAATTGCCTTATAGAAAATCACATCCAGATTCCTTTTTTTTTTTTTTGTTTTATAATATTTGTTAAAATGAAATCATGAATTCACTTAGACCGATTATTTTAATTGAACAGCTTCATTATATACACTTCTTGAATTTTTAAACAGAAGGAATCTTTTATATAACAATTTAAAAGCTTTTCCTTTTCTCTCTCTCATTAAATTGCATTCATATATATACATAAATAATCAAATTTCAATTTCTTTTTGGTTAGGAAGAAAAAAAGAGTACAAATACATACCGGTGAATTGTGCAGGAGCAAAACAAGCAATTGGATCACCAACGTATTGTTTCGTAGATACGACAACAGTAAATAACATAAGTAATACGACAGAGAATCGTCTGGATAATCGATCGTAGATATCGTCATCATTATGAAATTTAAATTGGCGTACTTTAGCTATGGCATCGAGAAAACCCGCTACCATACTATATTAAGAAAAAAAAAAGAAAATATATTATTATAGAGTATACATAACCTAGAACTCACTGATCCACGTATTCAGTATATTGATGAACGTGGCCAAAAACCTCAGAAAGCATCATCATATGTAGGAAACTGTTTTTATCATCTCGTTCTTATTCTTAGCAAGATTGAGAGCAAAAAGTCATTTATTAGCATTATTACTAGACAAATGATTCGAGAATAGTATGACGAATTTTCTTCTCTCAATACACAGAGAAAGATGAGATTCGATAATGATCATTATTCTCATTCGATATGATTTTGTTGTCTTAGATTTTTTTTCTCTCTTTCTGTAACTATGTTTCTATCTCAATCTCATATGACTATCTTCTCATCCAACTGTTCTCCATGCTTTTCTTTTCATAATCAATATTAAGACATGCTATCAATTCTACATAAATATCGATATCTCAAAAAAAAAAAACTAATGGTTATAATAACATCTTTTTTCTAATGCCTACTGTGATCAGATCACAGATATATATACATTACAAAAGTGTTATCTTATTTGTTAATGAAAGATTGAAACCATTAACAAGTGTGAAGAATCCATTAGTAGACTTTTGGAAAGAGAAACATGGGAGATAAAAAAAAGACATCTTTTTTTACCGTAGTTGTTGTCGATGAGGATCATGATGATCAGGTATCATTGCAGAGGATACTGAAGTTATTTTTCTAGTCAATCATTTTCTAACTAATAACTTTCATTATTACTAGGTAAATGTATGCGTGATGATTACACTTTTTTTTTCTTTTCTACTTCTCAAATTAGTTAAGTTTTCCATAAAAAAAAAATTAGCACGCTCTTACTTAAATATGTAAAAGAAAAGAAAATGTATAATATGACTACCAATTCGTTTGTCTCTACTATTTCTTCTCCTTTCTATTACTAGAAACATATTATAAATGCAAACATATTTTAAAATTCCATAAAAATTTGATGTGTTCATATAAAAGAAGAAGAAGAAGAAAAAAAGAAGTATATTCTATATGTATGTATGTGCACCTGTCATTAACCATTTCTTTTAAGCCAAGACGATGAACTTTACGACTACTTTCAATCAATACGACTATAGCAAGTATTGTAGTACAAGAAAATAAAAAGAGTGTTCTGACGGAAACATCAATCGATTTCTTTCCTTTTTCTTTATCAGAGAACTAAATAAATTAATTTGACGAGCTTGAAAACGATTTTTGTAGCATTCACTTACCTTTGTTTCTGACTAATTGAATACTTTTATTAACACTCGAAATCTTTTCAATGATAAAAGCGATTCTATATTTTCTCGTTTCGAATAAATAAAAAAAAAAGAAGGAACTACTAATTTTTTTCCTCAATGCATGTCTCCGCCTCTCTCGCGATCAATGATGATTTATCTATTTTTTCTATGCATACGACATATGCTGTTACTCATTTCCTTTTTCGATCAAATCAATAATTTTTTTCATCAATCCATTGTAAGGATCGTACTCATTTCTCTTTTCTACCTTTTTTTTATATAGTTAGTTAATTCTTAATTTCACACCTTTCACTTTTTTACTCTTATATAAAAACTATTGTTAATTATCTTGTTATTTTCAATAATTGTATAATAGAAAAACTATCTATATGCATCCCATTCTCCCAGTGCTATGTTTCGATTTGCTTTTTTCGAAGGGCAAAAATGACATTTGATCCTATTTCTCCTCGTTTTTTTTTTACATAACACTACTATAGAGTACATAGACAAAGTGCTATCATGGGAAATGTTAGACGATTAGTAGTACATGGCATCATGCTGTTAGATTAGACTTAACATATGAGCAATGCATAATAAGGGACGACTCCTGTTGTGACTTGAACTTTTTTTTCTAAGAAACCTATAATAAACACTAATTGAAAAAATAGTACCTGTGAAAACGATAAAGCATAATAATAGAATAAGAATGAAATAACTAATAAATGATTATCAATGATAGTTAAATTCATTTATTTGACATTTATCAATAGAAAATTGATTTCGGAAGGATAAATGAGATAATAATAAAACAATTGAAGGAGAAGATCGTCATGCTTAGCGAGAGCCTTCACAGTCTATCTTATGTTAATAGTTTTCATTATCTTTTTTTTCCATCTTTTCTTTTCATAGGGCTTTTTCTATTTCTCTATTTTTTTTGCTATTGATCTAGTAGGGATATATAGATTTGTCTGTATGTATGTCCTATGTGTCGCCCACAAATGCATGGTTTAATCATTCTCATCTAACTATTTTATATGCATAGTCAATGGATTGCTTTTAATTTGCTCTCTCTCTATCTCTCTCTTGCTCGCTCGCTCGCTCTATATATATATTTATTGACTATCTAGAAAATCTGTTTCATTATTATAGATAATCAATTGAAGAGCATGCACATAGTCATCAAATAAAACAAGTATACAAAGATAATAATCAATATTTCATGCAAACAGACTCTTCAAATAAAGACTTTATCAGATGGATTATCTAAAGGTGGGTTTTTTTTTATAAATAAATAAAACAATTTCTTTTTTTTCCGTTTGTTTATTATTTAAATATAAAATATTGATATTAATTTAAATAATTAATGCGTAAACTCTTCTTCTTTTTTTGACGTTTTAATAAAAAAAAAAAAAAAAAAACTAATCATGCTGATGAATTTATAGTTCTTATAAAATCATAGGACATGGAAAAGGCAAGCTGATCTATATTTTATTACGGAAATGTCTTTTCGTATATTGTCGGTTAAAGTCTAGCTGGTTTTTTTCGTCACAGGAAATCTATATGAAGATTTTTCCTTCCGAATTAAAATCGTATTCAATGTCAGATCATATAAACTATGAATATGCATCATAATGATTGCGATATTATTGTTTATTTTCATTTTACATAATTACATTATGTAGTTCATTAAATAAACGAGAAAATATTCAAGGTATTAAAACAATGTGTAAGCGCATTTTTTTCCTTCATTAAAAACCTTGACTTAATCAAAAAAATAAATCTTTTAATAAAATGTAATTTAAAATCTATGTCTGCGATATTTTAATTAATTTGGAAAAACATTAGTTTAGATAATATGATCTTTCTTTTTTTTTTAATATTATGATTAATTATTCGAATAAAAAGCAATTATACGTTTTTTTTGCTTTAGTCTCCGTCGCTTGTTTCAATTGAGAATAGTTTATGAAAGAAAAAAGAAAAGGTCATTGTAATTTTATAAGCTAGTATAGGTTAACGTCAATTTTAGCCCGCTTTCTCAAGTGCCTATGGTACTTTTTGCGGTCGAAGAAAGTATATTTGATATTAATTTCATGAGGATATTTAAGAAGAAAAAAAAATCGAGAGAATAGAATATTACTCACACAGATGTTCGAGCCGAAAGTGAATGCATTTTTTAATTGCTATTTCAATTTCTTCGTTGCCGTTTAAGTTAGTTCACATTCTGTGTATGTACATTGTTGAATTGATGACGATGTCATTCCATCGTCGCATTTTTTTTATCTGTATTTAGTAGGTTTCTTCTTCTTTTTTTCTTTTCTTTTCTTAATCTTACTATTGCTAAGATTTAATAGTGACGATGACATCGACCGGTGTTGATGAATAGAAGTGTATGCGTGTATGTTAGGAAGATGATGTGGCAAAAATCATCGACACAACTGCACGCAGTTGTTCAAAACATTCAATGTTAGTGCGAGACATATAAGAAAGGAAGAGTAAATACATGAGAATCGTCTATGCAACTAACATCGAACATCTTGTGAATTCATAAAGAAAACAGTGCCGTATGAGTTTTCTTCTTCTTTTTTTTCTTCTTCTTCTTCTTCTTTTGTTCTTACACGTTGTGTCGTCATTTTTCTATTATTATAACTCCTATTACTGTTCTATATGAAAGAAAGTAGAAGTAGCATAGACTACTCATTTTCTCTACTCATTTCATTGTACATTCTTACTCGAATTTATTTCTTCAGTATACTTATAAACACATAGTTTGACACGCAATTGAATATTATTATTATTAAATAAAAAGAAAAACGGTAATGAAAGTTGCACATTTTATGAAAGTATTGTATATGATATTTGTTGGTGAATATGATAATCAATTTAATTTTCATTTTTGCTTACCTGTCGCCTCCACTAATGAACTCGCCAACTTTAAGATCGTGTAATTTGCTCGGTCGAAGTTCAAGATCAAAATGTTCAATACGATCAGGTTCTTCGTGGCCTCGTTTACCAACAGAATGGCTAAGTTGTTTGGTCCGGAGATTGGAGATACTAGTCAAGCTAAAATAAAATAAATAATATATATTATTATTATTATTAAATTGATAATTAATAATATGTTGAGTTTTCTTTTACCGCTGAATTTCAGCTCGTTTTTGGCGAGGAGCCTTGTTCATGAGCTCTAAATAAACAATAAAGAAAAAAAAAACAATACTAGTTATAAAAAATCTTGGTAAATTATACTTGCATTAATGATGTGTGAACATAAAGAAAAAGAAGAAAAAAAAACTGCATGACTCTAGCATTCTGCCGGAAAAAAAAGGATAATCATATGTTTCAAGACATAAGAAAATAGTATACAGTTGAATGCTTATTGGGCCTTGGAAATAATCTTAAGATACTATATAATAATGATAATTTCTGATTTTTTTCTTCCACTTCACTTAATCGGTTTCGATCATCTTGAAAAAATAATCTTACTTGATGAGAAAAAGGAATAAAAAAAAAAAAAAGGATTTTATTTTTTTCTTCTTCTATACAAACCTATATTTTAATATTTTAATCTCACCTTAAAAAAGAAATAACAAGAAATTTATCATTCATTTTCATTGTTAATCAATAAATAATAATGATGATCATTATTTTTAATATGAAACTATTATATTGAAATCATTAGTTGTCTTTTTGTCTATCTATTGATTATGTTTGAGAAAAAAAAAGAAAGTCTCGATCCAATTATTGACTTCTCTTCTTGATTTTTTTTATCATTAAATATAGACGCGGATATATAATTGATCGCGCGTTTTCTTTCTGTTTTTTTTTTACCTTATAACAACATATCGTTATACACACATAGACTAAATTTTTCTTTTTCTAGTTTTTGCTTTTGCATTTATGTTAGATGTTTGCAAGTGTTATATCAATCGATTTCAAGTAGATTTTTTCAATTGAATACGCGATAGATGCAGTTTCAATTAAACAAGAAGACGAAAGATCATTGCGATGGAACAACGATCTCGTTTTTACGTCTTCATAACCCGTGAATGACGTTTTGAGTGGGTCGCAAACACTTCGCTTTCCATTTTCACACTCTCAAAAACTCTTTTTCATCTTCATTTTTTTTTTACTCTTCATAACGCTTAGTCATATTTTCATTTTGACCGATTGAATCAAGAGTGGGGAAAAAAAGTAATTTTTAATAGCAATATTATGAACAATTGTGCCGCTATATAAAACAATATTTCATACAATATCTTGTTCCTTTTTTTTTTCTTCTTCTTCTTTACTATTTAGATTTTTGTTTAATGAACGATGTAGCTTTTCTTCGTACTATTCTTTTCTTCCTTTTTTTCTTTCTTCTCGCTTTTTTTTCTAATCTAATCGCTAACTGCTGCCGTTACTACTACTACTACTTCTATTATTTCTTCTTTTATTGTAGTTTCCTCCCATTTCTGGCTCTTTTCGCGCTATGATTACCGCAGTATATTATATATATATATATGTTTATAAATATAAATATATATGTGTGTGTGTGTGTGTGTGAGAGTGTGTGTGTTAGGAGCGCACATTAAACAAGAAAGACATGGTCACGGAAAAAAGAAATGAAAGAAAAAGAAGAGAATAATGGGCCTGAATGCGTGTTCACTAGCATGTTTCGAAATTTAAATACGCTTGGTGTAATACAAAGTCTTAATATTATTTAAACGTACATAATGGTGTAATACTAAATCATTTGTGGTATTTTACCTTGTTAAAATTATATTAATAGATTTTCTTTTTACAAATTCTAATTTGATAAATCATGAATAAATATATTTAGTTGGAATTCACATACCTTTTGTAATGATCTGTAAGCGAAGAAAGAATAATAATTTCATATCGAACTCATGTTTATTCTTTTTTCTATCGTCGTCAGCAGTCAATCACAATGATGATCAGGTGGACGAAAATGAATCTGACAACATGTTAATAGAATAGATAAATTTCTTTGGCAATCACTTAATAATAATTGTGATTGCTCTTCCATGTGGTGTTGTTGTTGTTGTATTAATAATTTTGTTTATTATTCTTGTTGTTGTCCGATACTTGGTCGATGTCGTAAATATATGTACGTTGTAAGAAAGAAAAGAGGAAAAAGAAAAGAGACAAAGAATATGAGAATCAACTATATAATCTACAAGGATCGATCATATCATAGTATGGTAAAAACTGAAGCGCATTATTATGATTATTATTATTATTATTATCATCATAATCAACATCATCTTCGTACGTTTCGTCGTTCATTCTTTCTACTTTCTTTCTCTCTATGCTCTCTTATCGTTAGCGTATGTGCGCGTGCAAACATATATACATTGGCGTGCTTTTTTCTCGTCGAGTTAGTCAACGAGCGAACGAACAAACATGAAATAGATGAAGAAAAAATCATAGAGAAAGAGAAGAAAAAGTGTTGTTTAGATAAAAGTCTCAAAAAAAAAGGGATGTTGACATCGTTGACGTTGCCAGTTCTTACACACACATTCACACATACATATATATATATATATAAATGAAAACAAGAAAAGGGTCTCATTTCTTGTAATGTTGTGGTTCTACATCAGCCATTCATCATCATCATCGTCATCTTGAGAAGAACGAGTTCAATCTTTCACATATTGTCGTTTCCTTCCGGATTTGATCTTACTGGATCAATATTTCTTCATCATCATCTTTGCTTTACAATATATTACTGTTATATATTAATATATATCAGAGTAGACATATGTATTGCTTTGTATTCCAAAACACAATTTTTAATAGTCATTTGTTGTATAAATATAAAAGAATTGGGAAAAAACAAAGATCGTTTGTTGGAAATCCTATTAGAGTGAGATTATTGCATCTTCCTATTCATACGGAAGGCCAATTTATATAATATGAATGACTTTGAATGCAATTGTTCATCCGGATGGTGTGCTTAGCAATATACAAATAATATAAATATCTATAGATGTGAACCTTATGGGTTCTCGCATGAAAAATAGTTCAATTTTTGGTTATTATTCTTGTTATCGTCTCGATAATTTGTTCAAATTCTATTTGTATGAAATCAACGATGATGCCAAATTTATAGCTATGTCTATTGAGAGATAAAAAAAGGAAGTAGTCACATCAGTAGTAAAAGAAAGAAAAAGTACGATGGTTGAGTGTGAGCGACCGGCCGGAAACCAAATCATCAAGCTGCCACCAACAAAGCTCTTGTGAAAATCTCGTGTGAATATCTCAGTGCTATCCATATATATATATATTCATAGGAAAAAAAAAACGAACTGTGAACAAGATCATGCTAAGTATTCAAGGTTGCAAAAATGATGACAAAAAAAAGATTATGTGCAATTCTCTAAAGAATACAAAAACAGCGCGGTCCATCTGATACATTTCATATTATGAACAGAGCTAGACAAGAACGTTTGAATATATATTTTCACTCTCTAACACATTTTAAACAATTCAGTTGAACAACTACCGTTTGTCCTTGATGCTTAAGTGGTTAAGAAAAGTTTATATATATATATATATATATATTTGCTTCTCGTTTGTTTTTATTTACAATCCATGGCGATATGCATACATATATTTCGTCGATTGTATGTCAGAAAACATTTTCTAGACTATATCTATTTGTTCAAGATAAAAGCTCCAAGAAAAAGAAGAAGAAGGAATAGACTACAAGTCGATAATATATTTAAGTATATAATAAGAAAAAAAATTCTATTAATGGAATCTAAACGTCTCTGAACCCTTTTCTTCTTTTAAATTGATAATATTTAATCAAAAAAAAAAATCAGATAGGAGTTTTTAATCAGAATACACTATGACTTCAAAACAATTCTATATAAATAACTAAACATGCACGTCATTATATATGTTAGTCTTTTTTTTTTTAGTTTTTCATTACGACGTACACAAAGCCTTTAGGGAAACAAAAAGATTGGGAACTATACGGAGTTGATTGTCGCACACACACATATATATATAATATTCATCTATTGAGTTTTTTTTAAGAAGATTTTGTTAAAAAGAGAAAAAGCTTATGAGGAACAATTATAGTTTAGACTATTTACTAGCTTGTTTAATCTGTCAAAGCTGCTTTATATTAACATCACAAGTGTTTAGAAAGAAATTTGTAGAAATGATGAAGAAAATTTTCCGCACGAATATTTGTCAGTGATGCAAGGCATATGACAATCTTATAAGTATTAACTGAATTAACAACATACAAGTAGACTATGACAGAAAAAGTTAAGTCGAAAGTTAATTGAGTTAGACACATATATAAAGGAAAGAATATGTTGTATGTTGTCACGCAAAATTTCCTAGTCAAAAAATGAGAACAAAAGAACAAATTTCAGTATGGTTTTTGTTTTATTTATAATATTGAATTTGAGAATAGATAGACATATATATCATTAACTAGTAATAAATCATTTATATTGTAGAGAAAAGAAATTCTTCCATGTTAACAGCTTGTTATGTTAACAGTTTGTCATTAAAAGAGAGAGAGAGAGAGAGAGAAAGAGCATCACTACTTAACATTATTACGTTGTAATGTGCTCTCGATTATTGTATCAACTATGTAGATCTGTATCGAGAAAAGAGAGAGAGAGAAATTAATGATAGACAAAAGAGAGAAAAGAAGTATGTATGTAATATTATTGTGTTAATTGTATCAACAGAAAATGAGAAAAAACTGATGGTTCGAATTATATCTTAGCTGTTACTACTGTTGCCCTTTACTGGTATCGCGTAGTCGAGATGACAGTCCGATATATATATAAGTTAGAAAAAAAAAGGTCATTGTTTCTCTCTGACAACTTCAATATGGTACCCTATTTATGCTGTCAGGTTAATATGAATAGAGACAATTGAGAAACTTCACATTTCGTTTAGTTCTTACAACAAAAATAACAAAATATGGATATGAGATTTGATTATTCTAATAAATAAAAGAAAAGTATTTAAATTATAATGTCTGACACAATAAGTATTAATCATTAAGACAATAAGAATGTTCTTTTCCCGCCCATTTCTTCATTAGAAGAATGACATATAAAAGGAAATTGAGTGAGAAAGAGAAAATAAAGGAAAAAGCAACATAAGTAAAAAAGTTCATCAATAACTTGAAGCAACCAGGCGCAAACAAGAAACATGATAAAACAGCAGGTTCAGACATGTTGTAAAGAAGCCACTGGGCAATCTCCTCTTTACATACATGATATTGTTCATGATAAAATCATGATTATTTTATCTACTTGAAATATGATTTATAAAAGACAAAAGTAAACTACGTAAATATTAATAGAATCTTTATTGAAATCTAGATGGAAAAAAATTACTTTTTTATACTATAAAACAATGTTAATCATCAGAGAACTATTAGAAGCCGAAAGATTAATCGAGCGATACGAACTTCGTTTCCTGTTAACCCGTATATAAAAACAGAAGTACGAATGAATGAACACATTTTTTGGACTTTCATTTTTTGATTTTGCTCATATATATATATATATGTTTTTCTCTTTTACCATACAATATATACGTCTCATGTCAACACATGAAAAAGTGTCAAATTAATAGAAAAACGGAAGTTTCTCTTGAAAGATTTTATTCACATAACTGATCTAGGCAAAATTTTCTCAAGGAGAATTTTGATAGTATTCAATAAAATATATCCGAAAGACATTTGAAATAATTAAGAACTCGTCGTTAACCAATAAAAAGAATCATATATGAAAAAAAAAAGAAGTTTTCATTTAACTATTTATTCATATATTCTACCTTAATAATATCCTATGATCTTTTGACGCAAAAATAAGTAACACTTTCGTGTATATATAGTTATTAGAGAAATAAAATAAAAATTGATTAAACTAAAAACAATCTATACCTTGACTACAGGCTTCATTGTCGGCAGTTTACATCCATCACTTATTTTTTTGGTTTACATAAATGATGAAAGTATATTGTCTATCTTTTTTGTCTCGAATAACTGACATACAAATAATTTGCCTAAAAGAGAAGCTTGACACCTCTACTTTTGCGTGTATAGTTGCCCATTATGTGGATTATCTTGTTAGGTCTCTCCTCCCTTTTCTCCCCCTCTCTATTTCTTTCTCTTCGATCTTTCTTCTTCTTCTCTCTCTCCCTCTTCCTCTCTCTCTCTCTCGCTCGCTTTCTCAAACAAAGAATATGCGAGATCTTTCATGTGGTGCCAATCGAATTTATAGCTACTTACTGTATGCATAGAGGACCATTGATGGTAAAAGTGAAATGTTCCGAGGTGCATCTCGGCGATTGAAATGCACCAAGTAGTAAGAAGAGAATGTTTTTTGAGAAAATAATGATAATCAAAAATCGATGACGACAAATGTATATTATGTATATATATATAAGATTTTGATGACGATGATAAAAGAGAAGAAGAAGAAGAGACTATGATGATAGCAGTAGTAGTAGTGCTTGTTTGAATTGTTGATTGCTCAATTTCGTATTGGTGCGCGTTTCCCGTTGTTGAAGCCTCGTTCTCGTGTTAGTAGTCGATCGATGATGATGTTGGCGGCGTCGGTTTTTCTCATCGTCGTCGCTCTCAATCATCTGTGCGGTCGGTCTGCGGTTGTTATTATGATTTGTTGTTTGAAAGACAGAGCGAGACAAAGACTTAGCAAAAAAAAAAAGAGAAAGAGAAAAAAAGGAATTGTCGAAAGAAAGAAAAGAAAGTGTGTGTGGTTATCCCACAAAGAGTTATAGTAAAGAACGAGCGGCAAGATGAGCTTCATTTCTATCACAGAGTATAATTCATTTACGAAAGCATAGGCATCGTCTTCTTTCTTTTTTCACTACCTTCATCAGTAAAGAAAAGAAAGAGATAAAAAAGAAGACGAAGAAGAGAAAATCGTGACAGTAAAGAAAACTAACAGCATCACTCGTTATTTTCTATTAGTTCTAGCCATTATTTTTAATTTCGATGTATCATTATCAAATATAAAGAACAAAAAAGCGAAAAGACAAAAAGAATTGAATCTCTTGCTCTTTTGTATTGTCTTTGTTATCGGCGCTTTGGTTAATTGTTTACTAAGGTCCTTAGCTCGTTTTTTTTCCTTTTATTCTTTAACGGAAAACCTATCGATTGCGTGATGAAATCTTCCCCCCCCCCTCTCTCTCCCTCTCTCATCACTGTATCACGCAACGAAAGGCTTTGTTCTAATGATCGCTCGTCTCTCTCTCTCCCTCTCGTTTTCCCTTGGCTTCGTCTATTTTTATATACTTTCTCAATCGTCATTATTTCTAGTACTCTCGTTCTCTCACTCTCGTTTTTCTCGTCATCGAATTGGCACGGATAGTGACGGAAAACAACAATCACTCATCTAACACGATCATCCGAACAAGACTCATACATGTACGTTCTCTTTAAGTGGATCTATTCAATGACAAATATAACAAATGATGAAAAAAAAAGTGGAAATAATAATAAAAAAAAAAAAGGAAAAATCAAAGTTACAGATAAAAATACGACAGATCAATATTATCGTTAATAAAAGAATTGATTACAATGTTCATATATTAGCATAAAATTCAATAGTATAATTATTTTATACTTATTCGAAAAGAAATGTATCAAGATAGATATGCAAAAAAGATAATGATTATTAGCATATTCTTACTTTTTTTCTTTTATTGACTGATGTAGTTTGTTTAAACGAACAAATTTTATAAGTACAACTATGATTAATATATACATCAATTGATTATCTAAATAAAATCCTTATCATTGCTGATGTGATAATATAAGTTCTCGTTCTTTATATATATATATATATATATGTTAAACTAGAAGAAAAACAACAATGTCATTTATGCTTTTCTAAGCTTTGAAATAGAAATCTCTTTCCTATTTTTGGCATCATTGAATAAGAGGTTTCATTTGTATATTCACCGCTTCTTAGGATAGATACTAATTAATATCTATGAATAACGTATAATTATTTTTTTTTACTAAATTATATATCTCATCAATACAAAGAACTAATCTTTGTTAATTATTTTTTTTCTATTATTTTTTACTTACATTCGTTTTTTGTTTTCATAGCCTTTCTTTATTTCATTATACTATGTTATGATTATTGTGATATATATATATATCTATACGAATGCTCTGTTTAAGAATATTAAAGATCAACATACCTCGTGGATCATTATGTTCTTGCGGACAAAAGCAATAAGTAATAGTATTCCCTTTGCCAGTCATCCTATATATACGAATATATCAGTCTATATATGCTTGTTCAGTAATGTACAATCAACCGAAAATGTCATCAACAAAATGGTTTCTATTACTACTATATATGTATATATGTACATATCTATATATACTCTTTCTTTTCTTCTCGTTGTATAACCAAACACATAAAGAACATAAGTTATCAGAATAAGACCGAAAGCTCACTAGGGTGCTAGCTACTAAAGGATAATACATCAAATGATCATATGCAGCATCACACGCATCACCTCCAACGAGAGTATATGAGATACTGCTGCCTATATGCATTATAAGTGGTTAGATAAGTATGTATTCTCTCGTACATATGCTAGATTTAAAATGAATACAAAACACCGGTATATACAAAAAAAAAACAAAGTTATTGATTTGTTGAATTCGGTTGTTGTTGGGTTTTTGCTTGCTGTCGTTTTTCAAACCATAACATCCCGTCATTACGATCATCGTCATCATCATCATCATCACTTTCTGATTCTGATGATTGTATTTGTTGTGACGATGATGGGTTAATAGGATTAGTTGATTGTTGTTCATCTTGAAGTTTTTCTTGTTGTTGAACATTTGCATTACGCAAATCAATATAAATTGTTTTACGCTAAAAGGAAATTGAAGATAATTAAATTATCAAAATTTTTTTTTTATTTACAAAGAATTAAATATAATCAGTAATAGATGATTTAAAACAATATAATCATTTTTTAGAAATAAATCTTACTTCAGATTCAGGTATTCCTATTCTTTTTCCATGTCGATCCTGAGATGCAGCATATAAAGCTGATTCTATTTCTCTAAATGAATCATGTTGTTCTTGTGTTGAATGAGATCTTTGATTAATATTAAATTTATTTGCTTGTTGAGCAAGACGCTCAAGAATTTGACGATCATCACGATTTTTTACATTCGTTTGTTGGTCAGTTGATATAGGATTATTATTCACTAAAAAAACGAATTGAATCTTAGAAATATTATTCATACATATGTTATATGGGAAAAATATTCTTGCTTAAGTTTATTTGATATCATCTTACTTGGTCGTGGACGATGAAATGAACGTGTTCCAGTTGAATGTTGAGGACGATCATTATTAGATATTAAAGATGGTAATTTATCGAAATCAATTGTATTGAAAAGATCCATTGAAAGGAATGATGATTTTGGTGGTGAATTTTGATTTTGTAATGAATTATCTAATGGATTAGGAGAAAGACGCATTTGTGATTCAACACTTGGTGGTTGTTGAGGTGTTTCAATTCTTGGATGTAATGTAAGAAATGAATTTGTATTCGTATTTGATAAAGATTCAAGAAGATCATCCGTATTTTCAGGAATAGTTGATTCAAGTATCTATAAATTTTAATAATTATGAAATAATTCAATACAAATAAATTACTTCTTCATTATTATTTGAATCATCATCATCATCATTATCGAAGTTAACACTAGGCAGTTGTAATTGAACTTCGGTAAAGATTTGTTGAATTTGTGCGGAAGTATTCAATGGACGAACAGGAGGTTTTTCATCTTTTACAGGTGGCATCTTACCTATTACGTAGTTCGTTTGATTTAGTACGCAATTGTACTTTAAAAGTAAACAAGAAGCTATTACTTATATTATATCACCAAATTTTAATTTCGCCATTTTCAATGTCTCAGTTATAGTAGTAACCACAAAACATAGCTTCCTATTTTGATATACTTATTTAACAATATAAAATTATATTTCTAGAATATTTTGCATATTTCAATAAATCTTAAAGTAATTCTTGATTATTTAGATCATAATATTTTTATCCTCACGAGGTCACTAGCTATCGTATCTTATAGACAAAATTACATTGAACCTTGAAGTTAAACTACTAATCATATGCAGAGTAGATTATATAATTCCTATATGTATAAATATAAATTTATATTACATTAGTAAGTGAGAAATTCGTCATTTTTATATGAATAAAATAAAATGTCTTAAATCAGAATTAGAATTAATGGATTTTCCAATGCATAAATTATTTCGAATAACATGTTTTTATTTAATTAAATATAAATTTACATAGTGATGCTATATTTTAATACATATTATCGTACTGAATCCATATATTTTCATGTTTGTATAAGACGAAAATTTAAATGTATTTATATTATCTCGTCATATAATATTTTAGTTTCATTATAAATTACAATAAATGACGTAGGTCTATCAGAACATATTTTATCTATGATTCGAGGGAAAAAAAATTTTTTTTTGTATACTTTCTTTTTTATGTATAACGTCTAGTATTTGTAGTATTTCTTATCAATAACCGTCTTTACTTTATTATTGAAGGACGTTATATTTTCTTTTTGTTAATATAAAGTTTATCTTGTAAGAAAATGAAAAGTATGTTTAATTACACTACTTTCCTTTTATATAATAAGTATAAGAACTATATATATATATGACATAAATGTTTTATTGACATCATATTTATTTCTCCGTCGAATAGACGTAGAAAAAGGGAATGATGATGGAATGTTAAATAATGGGTTTTTGTAGATGCATCTCGGTTGGATTGATTATGGAGTATTGACTCTACTTTTAAGTTTGTTCTTTGAATAAATTCTATTATTTATTAATGAACAATTTCTAGGTTTTTCGGTATGTATTGGAATTTATCAAGGTTGTTTTCGATCGAAACAATTAACGACAAATGAATTTCTTATTGCTGATGGGAGAATGAGAGTAATTAATAAAAGAAAGAAAGATTTCGTTTATCTTTTCTTTTTTTTTTTGTGATAGATTTTACCAACTGCGATGAGTTTATTGGCAAGTCTTATGTCTGCTGCAACTCTACTTGGAATTCCACTAGAAGTTTATTCATATGGTACAATTTATATTTATTGGAGTGAGTTGTTTGTTTTTTAAAGTAAATGTAAAAAAACTTGGAATTTTATTCATGTAGTTTTCGCATATTTTATTGGTACTTATTTAACAGTAAATCTATTCATTCCAATGTTTCGTCAGATAGGAAATTTAAGTATTTATGCGGTATGTTCATATTATATTTGTTTCAAGGGAACTCTTTGTGTCTTTGTAGTATCTTGAACAACGCTTTTCATTAACAGTTCGTATTGTTATAACACTTAGTTACATATTCGTAACGGTTAGTAATAATAAATACAAAATTTCTATATTTAAAAATCATATATTTCTTCAGATTTTTTACATAGCAGTTATTTTATATGGACCAAGTTTAGCATTAAGTCAAGTAACAGGTTTACATATATGGTTAGCAGTTTTATCATGTGGAATTATTTGTACAATCTATACAAGTATTGTATGTATTTTATATTGAAATATGTAAACATTAAATAGTTTTGAAAAAAAAATAAAGGGTGGTATGAAAGCAGTCATATGGACAGATGTTACACAAACAGTAATGATGTTTCTTGGAGTTATTTTATCAATTGTTATTGGTAGGATGAGTTGGAGTTGATTTTTTTTTGGAGAAAATTATCATGAATTTATAGGTTTTTATGATGCGGGTGGAATAAAAAATGTATTCGAAAATGTAATAAATGGAAATCGAATACAATTATCTACGTATGTAATTCAAAAGAAAAGAAATCAATCATTCTTTTGAAAATTCTTAGAATTACATTAGATCCATCAATTCGATATACTGTTTGGAGTATTATTATTGGTGGCGGTTTAAATGCTACAGCTGTATATTCTTGTTTACAAACTCAAGCACAACGTTATTTATGTGTAAAAAATACACGATCTGCACAAAAGTATTTATTTGTAACAACAAAATAATAAACTCAATTGTTTTTATAGAGTTGCTTGGACTAATTTTATTATGTGTGCAATAATGCTTTTTCTTTGTGTATCTGTTGGGTGTCTTCTCTATGCAAAATATAGTCAATGTGATCCACTTCGAGCTAAGATGATAACTAAACCTGATCAAGTAAGAGAATTTCGATTAATTAAAAATATTTTTTATTGGGTAATTTGATTTCTAGCTTTATCCATTATTTGTTATTGAAACTTTGGGTCGATATCCTGGTTTAACAGGTTTATTTATTGCTTCCATTTTAAGTGCTTCACTAAGTACAGTATCTAGTGGAGTTAATAGTATTGCAACTGTTCTTCTCGAAGATATCTACAAAAGAATATCCAAAGAAGACGCCATATCGGATAAAAAACAAGCTATAATTTCAAAGATATTATGTACGTATGAATGCTTTTGTAATCTAATTATATAGAAAATTTTGCTTTTTAGCTGTTTTTATTGGTCTTCTAGTTATATTTTTGGCTTTTATTGTGTCTTATTTAGGTGATAATATTATAGTGGTAATTAACATACATGTTTTGGTTAATTTGTATTATATATAATTTATATAGATAGTTTTCCAAATATCTGGGTCATTTGCAGCACCAATTTTAGGTGTTTTTTTAGTAGGGTTTTTTTGCACCACGTGTAAATAGTCGAGTATGATGATAGTAAAATTTATCGATATAATTAATTGAATTTCATATTAATATTTAGAGTATTCTGTTTGGTTTTATTTTTTGTTTAATAATTCAAACATGGATACTTCTTGGTGCAACTTTAACAGTTAAACCATCAATAGGAAAAGGTGGACGATTATATACATCTATAAAAGGATGTTCATCATCGTTCAACACTAGTCAATCAATTACAACAAATCAAAGGTATTTCGCCCCTTCTATATAAAACTAATTCGAATTATTTGATCAATATTATAGTTCAAATCCTTTCTTACCACTTTATTCCATATCTGTTATGTGGTATTCTCTTAATGCTGTTGTTATCGTCGTTATTGTTAGTTTATTAGGATCATTTATTTTTGGTAAGATTCTATTACCGAATACGAATTCATAGTTTATATATTATATAGGTTCAAATGATGTCAAAATGATCGATAAAAAATTGCTATTATCATGGAAAGATGTATTTTCAATTTTCTGGAAAAATAATGTATTTTTATTGAATATTAATTCATATTTTCTTATTATTGATTATTTAGATACCTCAAACACGGGAAACAAATGAACTGGAAACAATCGAAGAAGAACCTATGCTTTAGTAATTACTTTTTCAAATATTTGTATTATTGTCATTTAATAAATAATAAAACAAAAAAAATTGTTTTTAATAGGAATTTTACTAATTTATATTAATTTACAAATTTGAAAGAAAACAAAACAGGCATTTTGTTATGCATATGTATTTAATAATTCAAGTCCTTTCCATCTTTGTAATGTATTTGTTTGTGAAATATTCGTATCATCGGAAAAGATTATTGTTGAACGATGATTAATTTTTTTTATTTCGAAATGAATATCGATTGAACTGCTGTATTGTTTATTTGAATTTAATATTTGTGTTGATTTTATATTAAAATCTTCATTTTCATTTGAATTAAGTGAGTCACAACTAACATTAAATAAAGATAAATTTGATTGAGCGGTTTGCATAAATAATAAACAACCATCGGTATCATAAATTAGATCTTCTTCATTATTATTATGAATATTTGTCATCGATGCAAAGAACGATAATTGACTATTTAAATTCTATTTCGAAGACAAAAAAAAGAATAGAACTCTATAGATTATATATAATGAATTCAATACCTGTGAAAAATAATGTTCTCTATGTGATAATTCTAATTAAATGAGATATAGTTAGAATTTTTGTTATGTATTTTAATCTTACTTTTTTTTAAAAAATAGGGTAAATGTTGATAAAACAGATGAATAATACGTGATGTGTTCATCATGAAATAGAAAACGCTTCTACTCTCTAAATTGATCGATCGATCGATCATTTTCTCTTTTTCGCTGATTTTTTCTCTGTCTGTTTGCTTATTCTAACCAATCAAGAATTTTTATGTTGAAAGATGATCTATCTATATGTTGGTCATGGCATATTCACAGCAGGATAGCATCTATCATCAACTTTGAATTTTCTCATTTCCGCCTTATCAGAATAGAGAGAACAAGCAAATGAAAGAAAGGTCATTTATTACATCTGTTCGAAAATTAGATGTGTGAATTAAATCACAAATCAAAGTGTTCATCAGTATATGTTTATTGACAAAAATAAAAATGATTCTCATTGATCAATCATTGTATTTGTATGATCAGTTTCATCAATATTATCTAGATATGGACGTTGTATAAGAAGTTCATAGAACCATTGTTTTAATGGATCACAAATAATGAAACAGATAATAAGTGGTAGTAAAATACAACGAAAATTGTAGAGAAATAACATTCGGCGAAGATTATTAACTTGAAAATCCGTATTATTATTTTCATCATCTTTAACAATCAAATGCAAAATTTGTAAGATTAATTCAAATAAAACTACGCTTGACGAAAGAGAAAAATAAAGTTTTGTATTAAGACTTAAAGGCGATGATGTTCGTTGCTGAAAACGAGGTAAAACATATTGATATATAATCATCCATAATAAAACAAGAATAATTATAATAAATATAGCATATTCAAACCAATATTGTACGACATAAAATGATAAAATTCTTGCGTAAGTTCCAATATTCATTGAACGATAACAATATTGAAATGATAGTATACTATCTGATGAATTATAATCAACATCGATCATTTTTTGACCAGAAACAATTGTTTTATTCGATGTCAATTGATTGTTTTTAATTAATTTTATAACTTCGAATAATCTAATTGAAACAATAAAACAAATACCAAAAATAATTGATAACGAAAAAAATCTTTTCAATAATATTCGATGATTATTTGTTCGTAAAATAAATTTCGTACAAATTCTTTCAATACTAAATAATAATGTTAAATATAATCCAAATGGTTTAGCAAATGTTGATATATAAACAATAAAACGACATAAATGAATTGATAAATTTGGTTCACCGAAATCACTTAATAAATATGGTTGAATATAAATACAACACATATTTGATAAACAAACAAGACAAATTATTAGAAAATATGATGTACGATTTTTATTATGGAATAATGATGGAGCAAAAATATATAATATTGGAAGTATTAAAGAAAATAATATTCCTATTGACCATGTATAAAAATAATTATGCAAAAAAATGATAGAATCAAATCGATCGATTGTAGTATAACCAATAAAATATGATTTCTATAGAATTAAAATAGATTAGGAAAATACTTGGAAAGTTTTTATTGTTGAACTTACGCCTGCTATCCAATCCATTGTATTTTATATAAAATCACTTTTTTTCGAATGTGTTTGTTTGCTTCTAGTGTTACATTTAAAAATGAAGAATAGATAAGAATATCATGATTATTTTAATTGAAAAGAAATTTGAGATAGTTACGTAAAAGATATATACAATACCTTATTATTTTTTTGTTTCATAAGATTGATATGCAAAATGCAACAGATGATTTATAGTTAAACTGTTGTATAAGGTAATAAGCACAAAAATCAAATAGATAATTTAGATGTGCATATGATTAAATGAAAGTTATCAATATTAAAATGAAGAAAAAAAAGTTAATTTCAATGCTTCTGAATTTATTTTAATTCTATTCAAAGAATGTTTCACGGTTAGTGCTGAAAAATTCTAAAATAAATATTAATTAATGAATAAGCAAGAATTATCTATAGCTGCTTATGATCTTTTAATTTATGATAAATCTTATCAATAGACATCAGATATCCTTCGCTTTAGGATCAAGGAAGAAATCACGTACTTCCGGAGTCCAGAGAGTACGTGGTTTTGCCCTTGATTTACTAACATTGGATTTCTAACAAATGATCTAAATTGATTATCTAGCAAATTACTAGTTAAAAAATAGCAGATAAAAATGTTAATCACAGCTACTTTGATATTCACGTTCATTTTGTTTTACACAATGAACAACAACAAATCATTTTATCTAAAAATCGTCTTTTGTATAACTATGTGAGAAATATTCAAAATGATTAATACAAATGTTAATGTATAATATCGTTTGTAGACAAAAGACACCTTACCTTAAAATGCTTAATTTTATTTATCATTTATAAAAAAATGTCTCATTTTTCTTTTTTTTAAAGATAAAAGTTAATAAACACAAGATGTTCACAGAGACTAACCAATGAAATTTACAAAAATATGTTTTCTTGTTGTCATACAGATTATTCTTCATTTACATTCACATTTATCTTTAACAGAAAAAGTAGAATTTATATATATATTTCGATGTATTTATTTTATCTTTTTTTCTAAATGAGAAATAACAAGAAAATGAAAGAACTCGTAATACTTTGTTATAGATAAGTTGAAAATGAGATAATATAAATTGATAAATATTTTAATTAATTGTCTTTTTACGTGAAAAAATTCTTTTCAATGTTTTTGAAACACTAAAAACATTTGGTTGCTTAGCTTTCTCTTCAACTGCTCGGTTGTGTGATGATGGTATTTGAGCACGTTCCATTTCACGTTGATCCACATTTCCAGTGTGTGTCGCATCATCACTCTCTTCAGCCGAAATCCGGTCGTTTTCATTTTCTGTATTATCATGAAGACCTTGTTCATTTACATGTTGTTCGACAGCATTTGAACCAATATCAGATATATAAGGCACAAATTTTAAAACAATTTCTTCTCTATCATGATCAGGTTCATCATTGTTTGTTAGTTTTAAGTTGGATCGAATTTTCAAAATCATATGTTCAAGTGCTGATTTAACATTAGTACGATCTTGTGGAGAAACTTCAAACATGGAAATATTTGATTGAATACCATACTCCTATTTGAAAATAAAATGTTCTTTTTTTTCTTAATTATTAAATATACTTTACTCTAGCTTCGTGAAAACCAACTGCCTTTTGTCTTGCTAAATCACATTTATTTCTAATAATCAATTTCGTCACATGTTTGGCTCCATGATTATTAATTTCATGCAACCATTTGTTTAAATTTTGAAATGATTTCTAAAAACAGAATTATTATTTCAAATTAAGTTTTCGAAATACATGTCAATCATACTCTGTTTGTTGAATCATAAAGAATAAAAATACCGTCTACAACTTTATAAAAACTTCCTAAATACAAAAATGAAGGAGGTTCTTGATAATAAATCAAAAGAAAAGATTACTTCTGATGCTACGATCACATTCTGCACTGCTCATATCGCACTAAAAGAAAATACAAAACAAATGTGAAGTTTATCAATCTCGAGTAAAATGAAAGACATACAATCATGAGTTTGATCTGCTCACCATTGAGATTGATTACTATTTTACTCTAAAAAAAATCATGTTTCCAATTAAAACTTTTAAAATCAACTTACGACTTTGTAGCTTCCTAAATCAATGTACCATTCTTCTGAATTCAGTTTCTAAAGAAAATATCGAATAGTTATAGAATAGAAGATATCTCTGCTATACATACACTATTCACTGATGAAAAAGCTGTTTTTCCAACACCTGTATCACCAACAACCAACAATTTGTAAGGATGATTGCTAAAAGAAACCATCGTTTTCTTAAAATGATAAATATATCGCTTACTGTTGAGGTATTGGCATTGCCACGATAATTGTTCCTGAATATATCTATAAAAAATAGAAACATAATGATTAAAAATGAAATAATAAAAATAGAAAATTTCTCTCTTAGTCTTTGATCAACTCAAAAGTTAATAGTCTTCGCTTCTGAATAATTCTTTAGAAATACAATCAATATAATAGTTAATAGGAGCAGTGGATGCGAATGATCTGTCTACGAAAGACATCTCTACTGCATTGTCTTACGTTTATAAAAAAATAATAATAAAAAACAAAAAGTGTCACCTGAGTAGAAGAAGAAAACGAACAATCAGAGAAAAAGAGTGAGAGAATATGTGGAATGTGCTGTACATATGAATAATTCACTTGAAATAGTCAATATTTAGATATTAACAAAAAGGTCCAAGTGATAATTCTAATAAATGAAAAAAAAAAGAGAAGCTTGATAGTGCCACAGTATACAGGTATGACGAACAGAAAAATCTGCACCGTCATGATGCCTTTTTACGAATTGCAAAATGTATTACAGGAAAGAAGAAGAAGAAATCGCAAATGTGATCATGTTGTTTACTAAAAAATTATAATTTACGAATGTATAAAAGATGTCCTTATGCATCGATCAGACTTTCTCAATCTCAACAGATATTTGAATTTGATTTAATTCTAGTATCGATAAATTATTTAGTAATACCTTGAACATTATGAATACTATTATTTATGTTTGTTTTTGATCGTAGCTGAAGTTTCTTTAGAGACATACATGTAACTTAGAAGTTGAAATCAACTTTCAACTGATACATGAATGTCAAGAGAATAGTCCTTTGTGTAAAAAAATGGTACTCAAAAAGAACATGAAAACTAACATTAGATTCGAGTTCTTCGATCTCAATTACCTTCGATCAATCATTTTCTGATGACCATCAATAAGTATTTACTGATTTATAGAATGCTGAAACCTGATTGACTTGGAGGGATAATCAAACTTTAAGCATTTTTATCCAGCCTATGACCCTCTCTTTCAGAAAATGGAATAATGCTCGAATGTGCTTCTACTATGGATACAAAGTTCAGTGTTTACTCAAGTAGTGACGGAGGTGACAAAGAAGTTTTCTCATGCAAGAGATCTTTCGATATACTCACAATTTTATTAATATTTTCTCCTAAAAAATCTTTTTCTGCATCGACATATCAGATCAGAAATATTTTCTAATCTTTCGATAGTTTTTTATTCTGATAATCAATGCACAAAGTACAAAGAATTTATTTGTTGTTATATTAAAAAAACAGTTTTTCTCAAAAATTCTTTCTGTTGGATGCGAATTTTTTTTTATTGATTGTGAAAAGGGTTTGTTTAAGTAACAGTTGCGTCTTCTCAATCAATTTGAAAATTTTAATTCATTCACAAGAATATTTTTAAACTTATCATTTTCAGACAAGTATTTTTAGCAACTAAATAAAGATTTCATTTATTTTTGTTACATTAATTACTTAAATAAAAGTTTAAAAAAATCTTAATATAAATGTTTTATTTCAAACCAAAATCAAGATCTTTTAAATTTACAAAAAACAAATGTTTTTCCTTTCCTTTTCCTTAATAAAAACTTGTTTTTCATCAAAAAAGTTCTGCTCTCTTTTTTTGATTAAGTTATCATTGAGAAATTAGATCAAACGATAAATTCTTAGGATAAAACAATTGATTTAATTCTTCTTTTCCATTTTCACCAATAATAATTTCACCTTCTGTATTTTCTGTACTCCAACGCATTACTCGATGATTCCCGAAATCTGTCACATAGATTTGACTATTATCATCAACCAAGTGGGAAACTACGTATTGCAACACTCCCCTTGTGAGAACACAACAGAGTCTTTCAACGAAAGCATATCTAAAGTTAGGTGTCTGAGTTTGTTGACATTTATGTTTTTTCTTATCTAATATTTCGTCATCTGATAACGGAAATATCATAGAAGAATCTTCCAACGATACACCTATATATAATAAAAATATAATAAACACGTTTCTGTTTATGACAATAACGAAACCAAGAGAAAGTTAATTTACTAGAAGATGCTTTTTCATTATATTCCTCCATCTGATGTTCGTCCTGGTGATCATTTGTATCAATGGCAAAATTTTCGATTACTTCAAGGGATTGCTGTTCCATCCAATAATAATCCAACTGAAATACATGTTGTTATGTTAAATGGACTCAATAGTTTTCATTTAGTAACACTTAAAGAGTTTACAGGAAGAAAATTCTTGAGACGAGCACTTTACAATCAAAGTGACAGTTATTTACATACAATTAAATTACGTGGAACTAGTTTCAGTGAAAGAGCAAGACCTGCTGAAGAAATTGTACAAAATGCTTTACTTTTAGTTGATAAAACTAATCGAAATCCTGGATGTTTACATGAAATTATTATTCAGAATTTTGCTCAACTATGTTGTACAATTGAACATAAACAATGGCGTGATAAATGGTTAGGAGATGGTATGATAAATTAAAAATAATAGTTGTATAGAATTTAATATTGTTTTTTTTTCAGAACAAAATCCATCGTTACCAAATAATTTCGAGCAAGCATCTATTCTGACCTCGGCCGTAGCTATCAATGAACAGAGAGTAAAAGAACTGGAACAGATGATCGAAAAACTAGAAGATAAACAATGTTGTCAAATATGTATGGATGGACTAATTAATGTAGCTTTTCTATGTGGACATGTTGCATGTTTCGAATGTGCTCAAAAACTCAAGACATGTCCTAGTTGTCGAATAGATACACGTGAAAAAATCAAACTATTTTTGTCTTGATGAAGCTTTTTCTATATGCTGTCTAATACAATTGTATATCTTTATCTATATTCATTCCGCTAATTGAATAACGAATTATTTGCTTGTGTGTATGTCATCAAAACTTCACCAACATAATTTCTACTAATCGCTACTATATTCTATATTTATATTCTTTTGTAACAACTAAAGAATGTCTTGTATATTATATCCCAATCTCGAAAGCATATATATCTACTGAATTCACATTTTTATTAAAAATTAAATACAAAGTACATATATTCAAGAATATTTTAAAATTAAAAACCTAATTTTGTGAGTTTTCTTAAAGAGCTGTTGCAATCGTGGATTCTATGTCATCTTTTGATTTCGATGGTTCTTCCTCAGGTACTTTTTTCTTTTTTCGTTTTTCTCTAATCTCAATGATTGTATAGCATACCATTGATAAAGTAAGTACACATAGAAGAATAATATGCGCATATCTTATACGAATACGTGGAGTATACACATAAGCAATAACAAATCCAAGCGATTCCCATAAATGAAAATTTGAAAATGCTGATTCATTTTCAGTGAATAATGTGCCATATGCAGCAGCAACTATAAAGAGTGAAAATATAAGAGAAAACTTCTGATTGTATAATTAGATTTTGATTTATTTACTCTGAGTTTGCCAACAACCATCAGCTACACCCCATAAACCAGCAAGTATAAATAAAACCCATAATTGATTTTCTTGTGGTACCCATAAAAGCATAGTTATTATTAATGTATAATTAATTAAAGCAGCAAACATTAAACAATACATTCGACCGATATATTTTGCAATATGACCAAAACTAAAACTACTCAATGCATCGCATACACCATAAACAATCATCACAAGACCAACATATTTAATACCAACAGCACATGCCATTTTTTTTGTTCATTCAGGGATTTATAACATGTGCT